AACAAACAAACAAACAAACATACTATTTCAAGCCAAAAAATGCTAATATTTCATCTGAAGAATGTATACTGTGTATTCAACGTTAAATACCATAAACAGCTGCGCTAAAACTACATAATATGTTTTTTACATCACAAAAATAGGGGATTCGGCCGAATCCCCTCCTGCGTACTTGCGTAAAATAATAATTAAATGAATTGTTTTGTCTTCCATCTTTTTTGTGGCGTTTCTGAATATCTAAAATAGGAAACAAATGAATTAAGTTCAGTTTGATAATAATGATATAAGCTCCATATAAGAGACAGACTGCCGTTTTTCGTTCCTTTATTTACACATTATTTCCAAACTATTAATCTGTTTCGATCCAGACACTGCCATCAATAGTAATATTACTGTCCTAAAAAAAAATTAACTTACCAAACTGGCTTGTCACTGTTTAATACACATGTTTGCTACAGTTTACTTAGTTGTGATGTTTCTGATCGGAAGTTTGATTTTGAGCTGTTTTAATGGAAAGTGTATAGATTCATTGAAGATGTGTAAGATACATGTTTATAGACAATGTTTAGAAGCAGTGCGTCTGATGATGTGAGGCACACACACACACACACATACATATTTGCCACTAAATATCAACCTTAAAATGCAATAAGAATAAAGAACGTAAACACTGCCGTTGCTATGTTTGTCATTAACGTATTTAGAGTGATTTACCGATATTTTTGATGGCTTGTACGACACATGGAGACAGTTAGTTATGAATATATATATGTACGTCTTAGAATGTCTATTGAGAGTTAAAAAGAAAGACATATAAATAAAGATATAATGATATGGTTGTTTTTATCTATGTTAATATCTGTAAACAAATAAAAGTTGCGTAAGGATTGATTTTTTTTTGCGCCCTACCGGCAGGCCCAGCAGCAGTAACTTGTGGGAGAGAAAAGATAGATATGAAATAATATTTTTACATATACCTCACTTGAAATTCGTAATGAAGAGATAAAAAGGAATCCGAAAACAAAGCTGATATCTAACGTGATTTTTATCAGAAATATTGGTTTCCAAATGCTTTCTCACATTTTGGCGTTAGTGTTCCACCCGCTTCCTTTTTGGCAGCCGCTTCACCCCACTTTTTTTGCGATTTATTTCCTTTTTCGAATTATCGTTTTTCGACCATACAATAAAGTAAAGAAGACTTCTGAATAAAAAATGAGATGGGCACAGTTGATTCATTTTGTACTTTTTCTTTAATTGTCATAAATTCTGTATTGTTTTGATGAAAAAATGAAACAAAGAAGCCTTCTGTTTGACATAGAAACTTTGAAAACAAGCAACATGAAAAAGATGTAAACTTTCCTTCATAGAAGTCATTTTAAAAAAGGACCTCCTCCTTCCTTTTGTTGAAAATTCCGGTTGCTAAAAAATGTTTTATTTTTATTTTACTTGACCTAAAACTGTAATTTCGAAACTACAGACTTTGTTTACTCCGATGTAACTTTTAGCAGCATATTACTTATTGTATATTATACCACCGTAATTCCAATACTGCAGAATTATTGTGTTCTGACCAAAGTTTTAGCAGTAGGTATGTTATGCTATCGTAACTTCAAAAATCTAGAGTTGGTTTATTCCGAAGGAACTTTTAGCGGGATATGAACCAGCTTAAACCACACAATGTCCATAACCGTTTTCCACTAGTTCTGACACTTCTACAATGCATAGTATCGTAAAACATTACAGGAACCAAGAAAATTATGAAAAAGATTGTGTGAGGTAATAATTTTGTCCACAACTGTAGTCACATTGTTACCATAAAACAGTTTAACAATATAATGCCACAAAAATGTAAAGCCGTATTTAATTAGACCATACCTTTGTGCGCGATATAATTTTTATCGCAACGTTAACGCCACAGAGATAAAGATAAATCACTCGCTAATGGCTCAAGTGTTTATGTACCGCCTTGCTGCGAAACGAAAGCTAATTATTTCAAAACAAGAGGAACAGTATATCACACAGGTTTGCTTGTTTGTATTTAACCAAAGAGCTGTGCAATGGGCTTGTGGCCTCGTCAGAAATCGAACCCAGAATTTTAACATTTTAAGCTCCCAAGATTATTTATTACTGAGTAGGATGAATCATACAGGTCCAGGGGCAGTTTGAAAATATTGCCTACAGAAATGTTTTTATTACGATAATTTTTAGGGAATCACCTATCATCATCATAAGAAATGTAAGCATTATTATGAATCAACTTGAACACTTACGATCTAGAGATGTTATTTATATAAAATATTTGGAGACCTAACTTAGTTCCTAAGGCTTAGTTTCAAAGAACATGTCAGTAGCATAGATTCAGAAATGAATTATGATTTGTATAAATCCAGTGGACAGAAAACGTCAAGTAAATGCATGGTTCACGTTCCGTTATCACAAAAAATCGCGCTACACATTTTCCGGCCGTGGGGACGTTTATAAGTTTGTTTGTTGTTAAGCGCAAAGCTACACAATGGGCTATCTATGGGCACCTCGGGAATCGAAACCTGATTTTTTAAGTCATAAATCCATAGACTTGCTGCTGAGCTATTTGGGGTAGGGGCGTTATAAGAGTTACGGTCAAAACCCACAAATTGAATAGAGTAGCCCAGAAGTTGGATGTGGGTGTTGTTCACTAGTTAACCTCCTTATGGTCTATCCGTTCAAATTTAGGGATGGCTAGCGCAGACATATTTTGTGTAGCCTTGCCCGGATATCTGAGACAAAAACAAACGGCAACAACAATCAACCGTATTGTTAAAAATCAGTATATTTTACAATTGTTATTTTTCTAAATTTCCTTGCTCTCACCCAAATTGTGGTACAAGTATGTTATGGATGTCTTTATAAGCATCCAGGAATAGTGGCTCCCCAGTAGCACAGCGGTATGTCTGCGGACTTACAACGCTAGAATCCGGGTTTCGATACCCGTGGTGGGCAGAGCACAGATAGCCACTTTTGTAGCTTTGTGCTTAATTACAAACAAACCAGGAATAGTTATGGAAAATATTAATTTGATGTTTGATCATGGAAAAAAGGGGGAATAAATAAACACGCACCTGAAATTAGAGAACCACTTGACGAGTTGAGCTGTGTTGTTCTTGTTGAACTTGATGTCCGGGAAGCATAGCTTCAGGAGCGTGGAACTGGGATATCTCACATAGAAGAACATAAGCTTGGCCTTCCTCAGGTGCATCGGAGTTAGAGTGCTGCTGTAAGACTGGTTAAGAAAATTATTGATTTGATTTTATACCTTTCATTACCAGCGGGATCCATCGTACTGAGTATGTTTATGTTTTGTTTTGTTTTTCCCTGTTACAACACTCAGTGTAAAAAAACCGGACTTCTGTTTGTTTTTTTTTATTGAATTTCGCCCAAAATTACTGTAGGGCTATCTGCGTTGCTGTCATTAATTTTGAAGTAATAGACTAAAGTGAACCACCTACTCCTAATTCTTGGAATACTATTTACCAACGAAAAGTGGGATTGATTGTCACATTATAACGCTCCCATTGCAAGCGTGCTCCATGCTGGAGTCGAGTGTCCTAAACTCCAAGCCATGCCAGACCAAGAATTGATCAAACAAACTGGAAGAAATCAATTATTTTAAGAGTAAAATATACAGGAGACACAAGCAGTAAGTAGTGGGATAAATTTCGATATTGAAGGTATTGTTGTTTGATTTTTGTGAGTGTGTATGTGACTCATGTACTATAATGGACTCCGTAACCAACATAGGCAAGGACCTATAAGCAATTTGATGAATACATAATAAACAAATGAATGGTTCAAAAAGCCGATGTGGTTCATGGTTATAGTATGGTTCGCAACAAACTTCGATTAACTGGCAACTAATTGGTAATTGTTCAAATCGGTTAAGTCAATTATTAATTATCTGATAGCCTGTACTGATTACGAAGGAAATAATGGAGAGAAGATACTAAGCGTTTTGAAAAATGTTTGATAAAAATACACAAACTTTAAAAAATGGAGTAGTAAGATAATGTGTAGTTTAAGCAAAGTAGTAGATTTGTTATACAATGATCAGTTTTGTTTCTGTTTTGTGTTTAAAATGTAGCCTTTCTGAAGCATGATACTTACTGCTGCTTCTGTTTTGTGTTTGAAACGTAGCCTTTCTGAAGCATGATACTTACTGCTGCTTCTGTTTTGTGTTTGAAACGTAGCCTTTCTGAAATAAGATACTTAGTGCTGCTTTTATTTTGTGTTTGAAACGTAGCCTTTCTGAAGCTAGATACTTATTGCTGCTTCTATTTTGTGTTTGAAACGTAGCTTTTCTGAAATAAGATACTTGGTGCTGCTTCTATTTTGTTTTCGAAACGTAGCCTTTCTGAAATAAGATACTTAGTGCTGCTTCTATTTTGTGTTTGAAACGTAGCCTTTCTGAAGCAAGATACTTACTGCTGCTTCTATTTTGTGTTTGAAATTTAGCCTTTCCGAAACAAGATACTTAGTTCTGCTTCTGTTTTGTGTTATGCACATGCGTATAGCGTGTGAAGGACGCAGCGTCTTTCTAAAGAAAATCAAATTAATTTTGCCCACGCACTACGTGTGGAATAGCTTAGGGTGAATGAGATCGTTTGATAAAACGTAGTTTAACTATCAGTTGCTTTGTTAGCACGTGACACACGACCATCAGTAAATCGTCAGGCCAGACCGAGTGAATTATTTAGTAACATATAAGCAACTAAAAAACCGAAACCCCAAGCACGCGCTGTTAAATACAATAGAATACGGATAGCACGCAACTACGAAAACCGAAGCTTACTTGTGTGCATTTATACACAAATGTGTGTGTGTTAGTGTGTAAATAAGAAATTTGCTTCTGTGCATTTTAACCTTTAAGCCTAATCATGCTGTCATAAATGTGTCAGTTAGATAGAAAGTAAACAGCTGTGACAAATCCACCATGTGCAAGAAATGGTTAAGCAAGTACATATAGTTAAGAAGCACGAAATGATATAAATGCATCACAATAAGTACCATAGTCTATTATTTAAAAATAATTTTTAAACTCTCTCGTTCTTAAGGTGTACACGATTCCGTGATTTTTTTTTTTTTTTACAAATGTTTATTTTCTCCTGCCATAACTATTGAGATAAACAATGTCGCTATCTTTGTTGATAATTTTGTTTTAAGTAACAGACAAAAACTGGTAAATTTTGATAGAGGAATATGGTGCTACCGTGAGTATAACTGATTGTAAAATGAGTTAATATTAGAGAAAGAAACAGGAAGCGTAAAGTGACTAACATTGCAACTGTGATCACGAGTGCAATTTGCAGAGTGAACTATTTGTGACAAGTGAGTGGAGTTTGATTACCTGTGACCACTAGGTGGAGCAGGATTATAGGAGTGGAGTAATATTACGTATGGTAACTAGATTGAGGAGGATTACCCGTGGTCATTAAATGGAGTAGGATTACCTATAGTCTCTAGGTTGAGTAAGATTACCTGTGGTCACTAAGTGGAATAAAATTACTTATGGTAACTATATTGAGGAGAATTACCTGTGGTCACTAAATGGAGTGGAATTACCTATGGTCTCTAGGTTGAGTAAGATTATCTGTGGCTACTAAATTGGGTAGCTAGAGTAGGATTACCTGTTATAACTAGGTAAAGTAGGATTAGCTACAGTCACTAAGTTGAGTAGGATTACCTGTGACTACTAGGCTGAGTAGTAAACACTTTGATAACGGTATGAGGAAGATTATCTGTTATTACAAGGGTGAAGAGGATTAACTGTAGTCAATAGGTTGAGTAGGATTACCCGTGGATAAATAAATATAATTTTTTGTTGGTTTATTAGCTAACTCAAATAACTAAACCTAAAATTTAGTTTTCGTGCTCTTAACACAATATTTATTTTCTAATTCTGTAATCCATTTTGTTCACGTGACTACGCGTTAAATAATTTCAGTTAATTGAGAGTTAAAAGTAATTGGTTTTATTTTCTCCTAACTTGGGATAATGTACGGCATATTATAAGATCATGTTACATGTAAATTGTCTGAAACTATTACCAGTCCGCAAAGTGCATCGAAACGAGAATATTCGCATTAAAATCTCCTTCAATCCAACAATTAAAGCACAAGACAAGAGAATAACAGGAACACCAATCTTCTGTAAAGATAATGTACGCACACCTACATGATGAAATGCAAGATCGTCAGGCTACATAAAGATGAGAATGTTACAACTTACAATCAGAGAACTGTGAGATATGAACGAGGTTTCAAATCATTTACGCAGTTAATTTTAATGGTAAATTATAATTAAGAATAAAAGTTGTGCAAGCTTATTAGTATTGCTCTATGTAGTACTTAATAAAGTTAAGGTTGCAGAGGCTTCTTTGCATACAGACTACACAATGTATATTTATAGAACGTTTACGCAGTATCTGTTGACTATATTGCGTTTACATAGCCATGTTTATATATATACACACTACTAATTACATTTGGTAGAAGATGTACACAGTATCTGTTGACTATGTTGAGTTTACATAGCCCTGTTTATATATGTACACACTACTAATTACATTTGATAGATGTACGCAGTATCTGTTGACTATGTTGAGTTTACATAGCCCTGTTTATATATATACACACTACTAATTACATTTGATAGAAGATGTACGACAGTATCTGTTGACTATGTTGAGTTTACATAGCCCTGTTTATATATGTACACACTACTAATTACATTTGATAGAATATGTACGACGCATCTGTTGACTATGTTGAGTTTACATAGCCCTGTTTATATATGTACACACTACTAATTACATTTGATAGAATATGTACGACGCATCTGTTGACTATGTTGAGTTTACATAGCCCTGTTTATATATATACACACTACTAATTACATTTGATAGATGTACGCAGTATCTGTTGACTATGTTGAGTTTTCATAGCCCTGTTTATAAATGTACACACTACTAATTACATTTGATAGAAGATGTACGCAGTATCTGTTGAGTTTACATGGCCCTGTTTATATATGTACGCAGTATCTGTTGAGTTTACATAGCCCTGTTTATATATATACACACTACTAATTACATTTGATAGAAGATGTACGCAGTATCTGTTGAGTTTACATAGCCCTGTTTATATATGTACACACTGCTAATTACATTTGATAGAAGATGTACGCAGTATCTGTTGAGTTTACATGGCCCTGTTTATATATATACACACTACTAATTACATTTGATAGAAGATGTATGAGGTATCTGTTTACTATATTTTAAGCCTGCGCATTGTTAACAGCTTTATCGAATATGCTAAATATTATCATACCTTATCAAGTCTAAACCTAACATGAAAAGGATATGCTGCTTAGACTTGACTCGTAGTTTAAACTTTCTCCGCCATCTGATCCTTCCTCTACGTCTTGCTTCAGGTAGGAGAAAGCTTGAGAATTTTGAGGACCAGGATAGTGAGCAGGTACATTGGGCGATGATGATAAAGAATCGTCTTCTTGGTTCTTGTGGCTAAAGTACGCTGGTCTAGTTCTTTCGTGATGATAAGGAAACGATTCTGAATGGTGGAGACTAGGGTTAGGAATAGCCACAGATGTAGGCAAATTCACTGGAACCAGAGGCGGTGGGTGGTGAGTGTAGATCGGAAAACCCATAGACGGTTGTGCTATGTTGGTACTAAAAGGGTTCTTTGGACTAGAATCTTCTTGACCGATGAACTGACTCATCAGACGAGGAGTCACACGCGTGTCGGTCACTTTGTGACGTTTCTTTTTTGGCGTCACCACAAGGGACATGGCCTCTGTTTGCTCTGTTATGTCATTATTTGTCACTCGTTTTCCTTCTAGGCTTCCCGTGAAGTGAGGATGAGGAAGATGATAGTGGTAGGGGATATTCATCGATGCGAACTGTATTGATTGGGATGAGGAGGTTGGGCAGATTAAAGATGAGGGAGGCCTGATTCCTGGTAGATATAAAACATGAGGTCTTGTAGTGTCACCTTGTCCAACCAGAAGTTGACTAGTTGCTCTGCTGGAGCGATCAAGCACTTTGGCACGTGGGGATTTACGATCAAGAGTTTGACTTAGAAATGTCGGATCTTTTGTCAGTTCCGGTTCCATTGTTTTAGAGAAATTCTTTGTTTGTTTGTACCTTGTCACAATAGAATCTATGATGTGTGTTAGTGTGCTGGAGATCTCCGACTTTAGAGCAGCAACCAAGCTGTCTAAGTCAGTAGTCATTTCAGTCTGGCTACAATGATCGTTTGGTTTTACAATGCAGGACTGACGGTTATCTTGCGTTCGTTTTTTCAGATTTTTTTCCAGACTGAGTATCTCCAGCTGCGTGGCTTCTTCAATCATTTGAACAACACTCTTGCTATCTCTCGTTGCGTTGTTAGCAACACTAGAATTAGCCTTACTGACTGTAGGATATGAAGTACTAAACACTGAGGATCTGTCCCGCTTATCATCATGACTGGTGTTATAATTCAGTTCTAGTTTTTTCTCTGATTTTATAGCCGAAGAATTGTTGACTTGTTCTGTAAATAATTCAGTGTAATGTTGTTGAATCACAGCTAATTGTTCTTGCATTTTTTGTAACTGTGATTTGAGATCTTCTCGAAGTAAGTGACGCTGTTTTGGTGGAGATCCAGCAACCTCCTTGTCGTATTTCTCTTCGTTTTCGTATTCTCTGTTCGTAACCCTACTGACTTCATGTTGTTGCGGCTGATAAAGTTTTCTCTTTTTACATCCATTGACCGGGACCTGAGAAGGATTATCTGGAAAGCGCTGACCGTCTGCACACTGGTGCATACTGGACACAATAGTTTCTACGCGAGCACGCTTTACCTGTACCAGATTACTACCAGACGTTGATGAGTTGTCAGGCATTACGTGAGGACAGACTGGGCTCAGCGTTACCGCGGGACTGTGAGCAGGCGACTGTTTCTGTTCTTGGTCGGACATTCTGCTGCGACTTGTAGGCCGGTTTTCTACTCGCTCCTCGCCGAAGATTGGAGGGACACTACTTGAACGTTCGGGTAAAATTCGGCTCCTCAGGTGACCACTGTCTAACAGCGGTGCCTCAGCAGAGCACTCTGTACTAGGAAGATATATAGATGGCATGTCAGCATCCGAGGAAACATTGTCGTTCAGGTACATCTTACTCTGGCGAATGATTGGTGAATTCTCGGACACGACAGTCGAACTGTTTACACTTTTAGGACTGCTGTCTAGCACAATAAAAGCTGTCTCCACATCAAAGGTTTGTCGGGCCACTAAGCTATCGTACACCCTGCTAGGCAGTGGCATACCAGATCCATTCTGATAAGGCTGAAAAGGTGGACTCGACCGTACACTGAAACTAGCGACACTAGAATAGCTGTTTCTTGGTTCGCCGGCGTCAACTCTCTGCCGTGGCCGCTTGGTCTTTAAGGGCTTCTCGTGCAAGGCCAAGCTTTCCAAGTCCTCTTCTAGTGACATCATAAGGGCCGATGATTGGACGGTTCAGAACTACAAAATCACTGAAGTCGAACAAGCTAATAGGCTTGATTCATGATCTCTGGTGGCAGCTCACTTGATTAGTCTAGGAACAGAAAAAATAAATTGAAAACAGAACGATGTCGGAGTTATAAAAACAGAAAAAAATAAACAACTGAAGACAGAAAGATGTCGGAGTTATAAAAACAGAAAAAAATAAACAATTGAAGACAGAACGATGTCGGAGTTATAAAAACAGAAAAAATAAACAATTGAGGACAGAAAGATGTCGGAGTTATAAAAACAGAAAAAAATAAACAATTGAAGACAGAACGATGTCGGAGTTATAAAAACAGAAAAGTGAACACACTGTTACGTATCAAACATCTTATACTACTAGCCTGTGTGGAGTAGAGGAGTAGGTACATAATACTATTTAACATTAACATGTGTAGATTAGAGGAGTATGTACACAATACTACTTGACATTACCCTGTGTAGAGTAGAGGAGTATGTACACAATATTACTTAACCCAACCTCGTGTGCAGTAGAGAAGTATGTACACAATGTTATTAACACTACTCTGTGTGTGTGGTAGAGAAGTATGTACACAGTATTATTAACAGTACTCTGTGTGTGTGTGGTAGAGAAGTATGTACACAATATTATTAACACTACTCTGTGTGTGTGGTAGAGAAGTTTGTACACAATATTATTAACACTGATCTGTGTGTTTGGTAAAGAAGTATGTACACAATATTATTAACACTACTCTGTATGTGTGGTAAATAAGTATGTACACAATATTATTAACACTACTGTGTGTGTGTGGTAAAGAATTATTTACACAATATTATTAACACTACTCTGTGTGTGTGGTAGAGAAGTATGTACACAATATTATTAACACTGATCTGTGTGTGTGGTAAAGAAGTATGTACACAATATTATTAACACTACTCTGTGTGTGTGGTAGAGAAGTATGTACACAATATTATTAACACTGATCTGTGTGTGTGGTAAAGAAGTATGTACACAATATTATTAACACTGATCTGTGTGTGTGGTAGAGAAGTATGTACACAATATTATTAACACTGATCTGTGTGTGTGGTAAAGAAGTATGTACACAATATTATTAACACTACTCTAGTAAAGGTGTGTAACGTTAGTATGTGTGGATTAGAGAGGTACGTACACAGTACTACAATTCTATGATAAAGTTGTATATTCAAAACGTTAAGACATAAACTGTAGAAAAAATAAATATCTTACTTTATTGAAATTGTATTTTAAATTTAAACATAATAATTTACGTATTATTAGTAAAATGAAGTTTTATGTCAATAAAAATCCAACGAATTACTGATTTAACGTTATTGTTAATTATATAATATATATTTTTTTCAAAAACAAAGTCGTATGAAATACAAGACAAAGAAAAAATCTGCTGGTAAATATAAACAAGAGATTACTACAGAAGTAGAAAAAAATGTGCTATATTTCTTTTAAATCACATTCATCTCTATACAAGCAATATTTAGTGCCCCCTAACTTTTCCTCTTCTCCCACTGATCACAAAGTTAGTATTTTCTGGCCAATTTAATTGCACTGACAATCTGGGCGCCACTGGCGATAAGTGAAACACAAATAATCAATATTCACATTAAATTCCAGCTGCCTCGCATGATGTATTAAACAGTAGAGGGCGTGGTATCTTTCCGAATTTATTCAATCTCCTCTAAATTAAGGAATTCTCAATCCCGACTGTATGGAAGCTAGCAGACGTTTTAATATTTCTGAAAGAAGGAAAGCCATCAAGTAAACTAAAAAGCTACAGACCAATCAACCTGACCAACTGTATTGGAAAACTCCTGGAAAAAATCATTAGTTCAAGACTTTTGGCATATCTTGAACTGACATCAAAATTACCGGAAATACAAAATGGATTTAGAAAACAAGATAAACAACAGACCATCTAGTAAGACTTATAGAAACAACAGTAGACAGTTTTAACCGAAATGAATCGCTTGCTTTCTCGTGTATAGAAAGCATTCGACACTGTATGGCACAACGGACTAAAATATCGATTGTCTCAAATGAAACTATCGCAAGGTATTATTCGCTGGCTCTCCAGCTTTCTAGACAACAGGGAAGCTAGAATTAATGTGTCGGGCACCTTCTCGGAGTATTTTACCCCGGAGGCAGGTGTCCCGCAAGGAGGGGGTAGTTAGCGTTATTCTATTTATTCATCATGTATGTAAGTGAAATGCCACTGTCAGATCCAAATTTCTGCTTCTCATCCCATTTTTCAGATAATGTGGCTATCTGGATTCTAGAAGAACTCCTACACCCCAACTATAGTAGCAACAAATCGACAACCACGGTTAAGTGAAATAGAAAACTAATGTAACAAATGGAGAATCAAGATAAACGCCCCTAAAACACAAATCATGTTATTCACAAAATCAAAAAAGAAGAACAAACAGCCCCGAAAATTATACCTTTACGGAACTCTTCTCCAGATAGCCACATCAGCCAAATTCCTGGGTTTAACCTACGATTCTAAACTAAATTGGACTAAACACATAAATGAAATTAGAAATAAAATCTGACAAAGAGCGAATTAAGCAAGATGTCTGACTGACAATAACAGAAAACATCCTCAAAATAAAACCTACATACGCCCAGAGGCAGAGTACGCCTGCCTAGCATGGTTCAATGTAATCAAATTACAATTCAATAATCATTAACCATACAGAGTTTCTAGATACACACCATTCTTACATAATTACGCAAACATCCCCACGTTGTCAGGCAGACTTCAAAATAGATCAATAGATTACTTTCGCAAAAATGCTGAAAAACTTTATCACATAATGATAATAGATCTAAGTACCTCTCACAACTAAATCTAGTAAACTCCTTATGTAATCTGTGGCCACCTACAACTGGGCAAACTGGTAGCTAGATATAGTGTTAATTTTATTTTTAAAGGGTAAATTTATGTGAAAATAGGATTAGTGCTATACGAGTATGGTTTCAATTGATATTTATAGAACTGTTTATGTGAACAAAAATTTATATTGACAATGAACAAAAGAAAATATATGTTTATATCAGAAAACTCGACATTATACATTCATGGACATGGCCTGAAAAGGGTCACTTGCGTGTGCGAATGAACTATTGCTACGCGCATGCAGTGAATGCGTGATGAAAGAAGGGGTTTTCCTAGCTACCGGACCGTATTCTACTGAAGAATTAATATGGACTTCATCTAACACCCACCCAAGAACCAAATCAATAGTCAAGGAAGGAGGTAGCGGTCCAGATGGACCTGATCCTCCCAGGTCACATGACCAAACAACGACCAAATGAAACATCTCAATTGATTTCAAAACATATTCACACATGTTGCATTTTTGAAAGAAATGGGCATTTTTACAAGTGCGTAGCTACTTTTTGTTACCAACCTTAAATATTTACAGCTTGTCTGTTGCTAAGGAAATGAAGCTGAAAGTGTTTTCAAAGAATTCACAAACACCAAACGAATGATTTCATTTAAAATTCACAGGATATTCAACGTTTTAGCTACTGGTATAGAGATTCGTCATATGTTTGCTATTGAATGACTGAGGTGATCAATGTGTCCTGCTAGTGGACAACTAATTTTCACAGTATAAAACATTGTCTTGTAAATTAACACAAAATAATTTATTACTTTACAACAACACATATTGTGTTTCCCAAGCACAAAGTTGTGTGAACTATAGCACGATTGTTGTAGCGATATAAACACACGAGTTTTTTTTTTTCTGTGTTACAACATAAATTATATGCGGTTTTCAACCCAAAATTGTGTTTAATTAGATGCATTTCTGTGTATGTAGATCGTATAAAAGTCAACATAAATATTATGCATCTCTCAACACATGTGTTCTGTTTTGTTAACAATGATTGTGTTGTTTTTAAATCGAACTTCTGCTTGACTATTTAAACACCAGACTTTTATTTCACAGGACCCAGGTTGTATTTTTAACACATTTTTTATAGTCTAATCGTATGCATCTGCTATTTGGCAATTCAGCTGGAATTGTACTCCTGAAAAGTGACTGACCAAACTGATTCAATATGTCCTTGTCCGAGATTCTGAAATATTTCAATATCCGAAGTAATTTCTTTTGTCCAGTTAAATGTGATTTATTCTTTATTTTGTCTGATCCTGAAATGTCTATTTTCACTAGTTTGTGACTCTGTTTGTCTATAATTCAGCATACTAGTAAATGACCTGACAAACAACGGTATCATCTGATGGTCCGGAAATTACTCCAGAACCACCTTGCGATTTACATTTGTGCTCTCTTCTGTATGTAAAGGAAATAATACCAATAAAAGACTCATTATTGGAGACTGAATGCACAAAAAAGAGAGACAGAAAACATCCGGATGGTCAGCAGTCGTACTTCCTCTTCCGGGAAGATTTGTTGATTTGACATTGAACGAAAACCGACACTTTGTGCATGTTGATATAGGAATACCTGTTGTTCAATGTATGTTTTGAATAGCTTCCCCTGTTCTGTCAAGAATTTTTAGACAACCCTGTCAGCCACATTTCCGAAGATAAGTGGCGTTTTTTCTTGTCCTGTATTTCTTCTGGGTTCCTTTAAAATTTAAATACTGTGTTAAAAACTATATTTCGTTTGTATAATAAACTAAATATTTTTGAAAATTTCAATTAGAGAACTTTCAAGCGTAAAAACACATTGGTTTAAATAAAATATTTACTTTCTTTACACATGAAACAAAGAAGCTCTAATATGTGTTTGAAAGATATTTTAACCTTTTATTGTTGTAAATGTACGTACATTGGGAAGACATATATATTATTTTCATAGTTCATGGAGTTTTAACTTCAAGTTGCTTACAAAATGTATATAGAATCGTCATTGAAGTATACATCCAGGAGAACCAGAAATAAATTGTGATTTGATGAAACTTTATTTTGTCATTATCTCCTCTATCGTTTTATATATATATACTAGAATATACCAAAATATTCAGCTGTAATACTTTTGTTTTTAATATTTAAAAAATAACATACA